CAGCTTGCTCCCTCCTGGCTGCCAGGGGGTTGGGCCAGGCCAAGGATCTGCCCTTGCCCCCACGGCCAAGGAGGGTCTGAGGCCACCCTGGCCCTTGACACTCCCCACCCCCGCCCTTCCTCTTGCTTCCCCGCACCCACTGCCCTGGCTCTTCCCCCAGCCCCGGGCTCTGAGGCTGCCCAAGCCCCAATGCCACTCCATCTCTTCTCCCACCCCACCCCAACCAGCCCTGCCTTTTTTCTCTCCCCTCTTCCCCACTCCCACCCTGCTCCACCAGGAAGGGAGGCTGGGGAGAGTAGCACCTCGCTGGGCCTGCGCTCTTCCCCCAGCTGCTGAGCACCAGGGACAGAAAGGGGAGGAGGGAGAGGTTGTTAAGATACCATCTAACAGCATTATGAACATCAAAACTACTAGAGTTATTAGCATAAGTTAAATGTTACTAATTTTTTACTAAAAAGAGCCATTAATCAAAGTTCTGTTATGCTTTTCTCTTACAAGTAGACCTTTTCACCCAATAAGAGCCTTTTTCAGAACCCTAATTATTGCTTTCACTAATCAGGCTTGATGATATCAATGATGGAAGAAATAAGGTCTTTTTAATTATGCACATAGTGGGAAATCTAGAACCTTCAGGGAGACTGTCAGCCTCTTCCACTATAAATTGTGGGGAATTTTTCATGTAACCTCTCCCCTCCTATCCTCCAAGGACAGATCACACACAGACTACATTCCTCAGTTAAAGCAATTAGGACCAGGAGAGAATCAGGGATATCTGCAGTCACTCAAAAACTGTTCATGTTTTGGTTAAAACGAACATGCCCTGGCAAATCTTTATTTTAATTTCAATACTTACCCCTACAAATAGTTATTTAAAACCCACAGAACCATTATGGAACTAAGGTCAAAGTTTCTCTCTTCACAGATCAAGTAAAAGTTATAAACAAGGAAAACAACATGTATTTTATTAATACAACCATTATTACCTACCTCCCCTGTGATTGGATTGGTTCCGTACTTCTTTATCCAAGGAACAATACTCCTGAAAAGAGAGGAGACAAGACAGTAAGTCATATACAGAAGTAGGAACCCACATTTACTACTGAAGACCCAGTCTTATCCCTAACTGGTTAGGAGAGCCCAACTATGGAAGTATTTCAAAGAGTCAAAGCAGCACCAAATGGCCTTTCATCAGGGAAAATGTTCCGCAGCTTTGCAAAAGCTCACTTCTCCTCACAAAGTGATATTTCCCTACCCTACAAAAATGTTATTTAACCTTAGATGGTGGGCAAACTTGATATTACAATCCACAGCAGTATTTTCCCTCACAGTATTTATGGATGCCTTATCTCATTAGATAAACAAAACAATTTTCTCTTCTGACTTTTAAAAATTAAAGGCAAAGGCATTTTTAATCTGCAGGTCTTGGCTTTTGCTGACCGTTTGCCACAGTTTTATCAGTACATCTCTGCAGAACATAAATGAAACCCAAAGACTGAAGAGCCCCAAAAACCTCTAAGTGAACTGAAAAGAACAGGAAGACATTTTTAGTGCTTATGACTCCTCACCTCAATGCAGATAGTATGCAAGGTTACCCCCAAGTGCTACTGTCTTATGAATTTTTCATGCATTCTAAATCTGTGAATCCCTTCATTCCCAAATTTCCTCTACCACACTATCAAACTGATAGGAATAAGAAAAGCTACAGACCATCATGCAATAACCTGTGCCAAGATGCACAGTTAAAAACATGCTACTCAAGCATAGAAACACTGCATATATACGGCTACAGCTGTCACCTTCTAAATACAGCTATGATTATGAGAAACAAAACCATTTGAGAAGTGAGACAGATTTAGACTAGAAATCTAAGCACCAGAGTTGAATTTGAAAGATCTAATCCCAGTTCTGACATGGTTCTGATCCCAACCATAACTTGAGCAAGTCACTCAGTCTATACGAAAAATCATACAAAAAATAAAAATGGCAAGTGAATGGCTTACAGCAAATCAAAGACTGTTCCATCTGGTGTGCAAACTGGATACTCAAATGGTTGCAGAGATAAACTAGGAAAAAAAATTCATATTTATTTCAGATTTATCAAAGTAACCTGGAAAGTCACAATACTAAACTAACAACTTATCATTAGCTTCTCTATGAGTCCTAAACTCAGGTCTACATCAGTGAACATAAAATGTGACTTGCAATTTACGTCTGCCTAGGGGGAACTAACTGATATTGCATCTTGATTTCTTTCATTCTCACATCTGTGTTTCATCAGCAAGAAGAAAATTCTAAGCACAAAGAACTAAGATATGAAAGGCCCTTGTAACTTAATCATTGGCTCAAAGTGACGATGGACAGATCAAGGATAAAACATCTTGAAGGGGAACAATATGAATATTAAGTTTACATGGCAAAAATTTTAGAAGTATAAACTTATTTGAACTGTGCATATTAATTCGTTGCAAATTTTACATGTATATATTTTGTTTGAACTTTACAGTCATTACATATACAATCTACAGACTCTGGGCTTCATGGAGTCCAAACAGAAATTTCAATTCTTGCTGAACTGTTGGTGGTGCTGCATGAAGGCATATTTTCTCTGATGTCTGTCTGTCCTACTGACCACCACAGTAAACATGATTTGGTCAACGGTTCAAGACAAGAACGATATTATGTCTTACCTGCAGTGATCAAAAGATAAACGCCTAAAATTTGCTTGTGGAATATCTGTTTAAAAAAATAAAAAGCAAAAGAACTTTTTATAAATCCAGAATAGTTTGGGCAGTAAACTTGCTTCTGATACTAATGATTAATACTAGGTGATATATATTTGGAAATTACTGTTTTCGATATATCAAGTTGGCAATTTGGTCCTGACAAAGATAAACAGTCTAAATCCTGTGAAACTAACAAAAATAAAAACTTGACAAACCAGTGCAGAGCAAACCCAAACTCTATTCCACAAATAAAATGGGAAGAGTTAGAAAAGTATTCTTTTAAAGTAATTGAGATACGCCTTGGCCTATCCTTCCACCCTGTCAAATTCTGAAGGTTTTATAGCTACATTATCCCCCTTTTTAAAAATGTTCTTGTCCGTTTTTAAAATTTGCACAGACATCAAAGGTCAAATGTTCCATGAAAGTAAGTTTGAGGAAGGCATTCCAAGCATGAAATTTTAAATCTTAAAAAAAGGGTGGAGATGCAAGAAACAAAAGAGGTTTACGCTGACATCAGGGAGCCGGAGGGGATGAGGAAAAGAGATGGAACACAGGGCTCTGTAGGCAAAGTCACGGAGTTTAGGTTTGGTGGACATAAAGTGAGAAGCTTGGGATGACGTGGTGGAAATAAGAGCATTTTGGTTTTGTGGACATGGTTAACATTAGAGACCTGAAAATAGATTACAAGTGTAGATGTTGCTAGGACATGAATGAGAAATTCAGTTATAGGGAGAGAAATGAGTGAGATTTTCAAATTCTGTGGAGGACAAGACTCAGCCGAAGTCTGACTGTAAGGGGAGAAGTGTGGAATCAAATATAACACCCAGGTTACAAGCATCAGGATCCCACTGTAACTGCTTTGATGTAGCCAAACTGAGATTGAAATGGCAGTGAACTATACAGGATGACATTTCCAGGGATAATGGAAAGAGCAAAGCTAAGAAAAGGATATAAGCCCAGAGGGAAGAAGAATATTTAAAAGTCATTCATGCAAAAGTGATCTGTAATTGCATGTAAACACATGAAATAATCAGGGGAGAAGGCACAGTCGGCAAGGATGGCACCCTGAAAGAGTCCAACAAAATAAAAGGGTAAACAGAAAAAGAGGTACCGAATGCATGTTTGGAAAGTCAGAGCAAGATCCAGGAAAGGATTCAACCAGGAAGGAAAGGAGGATAGGACACAATAAAAGAGAGAGCAGTCAACAAGTTTAAAGGCAACAGAAAGAGGGGGAGCATGGCAAGCAGGCCTTGAGACTTAGCCAAGAGGTCTTTCACAACTTCAATGAGAGAAGAATAAGGAAGAGAAAAACAGACATCAGCACTGAAGTGTGAACATATGTACAAATCAGAAATAATTGTGAAAAATAACAAAAAGAAAACACAGTAACTTACCTGCTTTCTTTCCTCCATAAAAGTGTGTATATTCTGCACATGTTATGTACCTAAAGAGTAAAGCAGTGTTAATGCTTAATACATTGCACTAATGATATTTAGCAGAAACCAATGATTTTTCAAACTGAAAGTTATATTAATAAGAGATATTAAACATTCTTAGCTACCTTTTTTACACTTTTACCCAATATAGCCAACTCTGATATTAGGTGTCACACCTCAATGTTCCCAATACGAAGAGCTTTGGGGCAATACCACAAAAAAAGAGAAACATACTATGTTGCCACCATATCATGCCAGAGACCAAGTTATAACACAGATGACACTTTTGTTTGCTTTATTGTCACTACGGATGATTCCATAACAACATCTGGAAACTGTGCATTAAGCCTTGAAGCAAAGGAACAAGGTTGACCCACAAGTCACTATTATAGCTTTTGTTCTATATTTACCACGCCAAACTTTTCTTCAGTGCCTAACACAGATACCCCAACTCCTGACCAAGCTGTGAGCTTACAAAAAGCTCTCGTACAGAACACAAGTTCTTGGTTCTATCTAGCTTCTTCTGGATCTGGGAGAATAAAGAACTAGCCGGGGGAAGGGGCACAAGAAAAAAGATTCACATTAAGTGAAAGATGTGAATCTGAAGTGCCATTTAAATCCCTTTGTAGAAACTGAGTTGACACACAGATTTAAGTTGCATCACTTCAAGTTCACACCTTCAATTAATCTGTATTAACTTTCCCAGACATCTCGGTACAGACAAATTCTAAGTATCTTCAAGCTACAGGTGTTAAAATGTGTTTATTTAAAATGCATAAATTTTCAGCGAGTACACGTTTACATACGCGGGTGGGAGGAAACAGGAGCTAGTGCTCCTTGCACATACTGGATTCCACGCCTGCCACCGCCCCCCCGCCTCTGTTAGAAGGGGGGGGAG